AATAGGGCCTGCTGCTGGGGCATGTCACTGACCAGCCCTGAGCTGGGGTGTTGGGAAGGATTTGGAGGCAGCAGTCATGTTCTGCCTCCCACAGGGGAGGCTGTGGAACTTGGTTCTCATTGGCCTGAATGTAGGATCAGTGTGTGTTCCTGCCTGCCCTGAAGCCAGGGTTAGTGCTCAAACTGACAGCCTCATATTCCTGTGTGAGCTTAAGGCTTAACTTGGACTAATTTCTCCTGCAGGACCCCTGAAGAAAGAAGATGGAGACCTGCAAAAAGCTGTAAGCACACAGAGGTGGGGCTCAAACTCTGGGAGTTGTGGCTTCCCACATTCCAGTCTTACTCTCTGCTCTCCTGCAGTGTCTCATTGAGGCAGTGACAATCATGGACATCATCTGCAAACAGGACTCCTCCTACGTGTGCCGTGCTGTCTCCTTCCTGAAAGTCCTGCACAGCAGGATCTGTGGGGATGCCACTTATGCCAGGGCCCTGCTGCCCATTGCCCAGTTCTTCCTGAACCACAGTAAGTCTTCAGCTCCCACCCCCTCTTGCACAATTCAGTCATGCCTTTTCCAGCACAGCCTTTTGTCCTGGCAGTCTTGCCTGTGCTCTGGTATGGATGATCCCACCCCAGGAGACCCAGGAGCTGGAGGGTCCCCTGCTCTTTAGAGGAACATAACCCAGATGTCTCTTAGCCCCTGGAGCCCTGGCAGGGCTGCTGGGTGAGCTGTGCTCAGCAAGGTGCTGTGTCCTCCCAGGCAAACTGGCAGCTGTGGACTCGGATGCCATCTACAAACATCTCCTCACTGATATCCCAGCTCAGCTCTTCCACAACCCATCACTGGCCTTCGAATTTGTCCAGTTCTGCAAAGACAACAGCCAGCTCCTCACAGACTCCTCCAGCATATTCAGGCAGAGCTTCCCAAATCTCTTCAAGGTACAATGTGTTGGAGCAGCAGAGGGGAGAGCCTGCTTCACATCCCCTTCTGTGCCCTAGAACTTCCTTTTTGCACTGCAGAGCCCTCCATGTGCCTCCATGGCAGTGCTAGGGAGAGCAGAGGCAAGAAGGATTGTTACAAAATGAGTGAGTTTGAAGGGATGGAGGGTTCTGGGTGTGTTTAGCACTGCCAGGAGAGAAAAGTCTGGGTTGGCAGGACTGTAGGGGGCTGGGGAGCACAGTGAACACAGGACACAGCACTTTGTTTCTGGAAAAGTTGAGTGAGTTGCAGCTTGCCAGCCACTGAACCAGCTGCCAGAGGCCTGTGTTGAGCTTCTAACAGGCTCCTGGGTTTTGACCAAACCCTCAGTCTTCTCTGGTTTTGCTTTGAAGAAGTGACTTTCCCTTCCCCATTCCATCTGGTCACAGTGTGGAGTTGTCTGGGTGTGTGATGGAGCAGCAGGGATAGTGCAGCAGTTTGTGCTTGTTCCTTGCAGTTCCTGGCATGGAACAGCCCACCTCTGATCTCTGAGTTTGTGGACCTTCTCCCATTTCTGCTGGATCCAGGCACAACCATTGAGATCTTCCATTTGCTGCTTGACCTGCCCTGTTTGACAGCAGCTCTGGACATCCAGCAGAGGTAATGCACCTTCCCTTCCTTTCACTTGTTTATCAGCACCATACCACTGACCAAAGCCCAGTGCACACTTCTGAGCCTCAGATGTCACAGAGCAAGAGGCATCACTGCAGTCAGGTTAACACAAGGCTGCACAGATGTCAGCCAGTTTTCCTAGTAATGTGTTGTACATGGGAAGAGAAGGTGACCAGCTCTCACATTTCAGTACTGGACTGTCTCTGTTACCATTCCCCTCTCCCTGTCCAACTCCAAATGATTGCCACGTGTTTGAGGCTTCCATGAGCTACCACTTCAATACAGAGGTCAAATACCTGGTCTTCCTTTCCTGCTCTTAGCCCTATTTTTTTGCTCTGTTTTCCTGGAGGCACACAGAATTATCTTCCTGAGATCTTATGAGCTGTGAGTTTCCATGAAGATGGGGTAAGACTGGAACTGGCTTTACCTCTGCTCTGCCTTGTCCTCCTGACATTACAGCTCTTTCTCAAGTGCTTAGAAAAGAGGCAGGATTTGGTGGGCTTGGGTGACTGGGGGATACAGTGTCATTTTTCCCTTTTCCAGGCATGACACAGAAGCAAGTCTGGAACTATTGCCTGAATATGGGGGACCTGAGCTCATCAGGTTGTCCCTCTGGCTTCCAGAGAGCCCAGATTAGACCAACTTGTGTTCAACCACAACAGTGTTCAGGATCCCAGCTCTGCCCTGGCCCATTGTCACAGTGCAGCACATTCTGTGTGTTCCCTGCTAGGGCAGCTGCTCTTCCTGCCTCTGAGAAGGCTGGGGGTGACCCAGCTGGGAAGCCAGCCACGTGTCTGGAGGCCTTTCGCCATCCCCTCTACAAGAGCATGTTCCAGTATCTCCTCCGCACCAAGTCTGCTCCCCAGGATGCCCCCGAGAGGTAGGAGCCTGCCTGGAGTGTGGTTCAGCCATCCAGCTCTGGGAGGCAGCACTGGCATCACTGGGAATGGCACAGCTGCTCTGAGCTGGCCTGAGGTGGATTTCTCTCCCCTCTGTCAGCTTTGCCAGCACTCAAAGGCCCTGTGGGGAATAGGGAAGGGCAACTGGGAACAAACCTTCAACAGTCACTTTTCTTTTGCCCACAGTCTGGTTCCACTTCGGCAGCTGCTGGGATCCCTGGCTGGCAGCCCAAGGGTGGTGCAGTGTGCAGAGTCTGTCCCTGTCTTACTGGAGCTCTTTTTCAGGGTGGTGGCAGAGGTGGGTCCTTTTGGGGAAGTTTGGTTCCCAGTTATGCCACAGGGATCTCTTGTTATGTGAAGAGCAGTCACAGAAGCAAAATTGTGAAGATGCTGCAGCTCCAAGAGAGGGGTGCATGAGGGGAGGGTGGGATTGGTACTGGCATGAGCCAGCACTGAGCTGGCCGCTTGATCCAGAGGAACTGAAGAGCTCAGTGGAGCAGTGTCAGGTTCACTCTGTGCTCTCAGCCAGCTGTAAAGGAGAGAGATGAGAGCACAGTGAGAGCCTCATACCTGCTTTGTGCACTGCCCCCCTCCTAGATCAGGCAGTTTCTCTGCCAGCTCTCACCTGGCTCTTTATTTTGGGGTTTGACTGCTGGATGTCACTGGTACTGCTGAAACAAGGGCTGGCTTTCAGTTTGCAGATGAGTCTCTGATAAACCAGCTGGTGGTGCTGCTGCTGCAGAGGAGTGACCAGCTCTATGAGATCCCAGCGTTTAAAGAGGATGTGTACAGGTGAGATGAGACAGGAGGCACAGCCCAGCTCCCAGCCCTTCCTCCTGGCATCCCAGGGCAGCCCAAGAGCCTTTTCAGTTTTGGCCCAGTCCCCACTGTGACATATCTTTGAAGGGTGCAAAATGGGGGCTGCACCTTCATCCCAGCTGGGAACATCCTGAAGATACAGCCCTGTGCCAGTGGCTGGGTGCTGCCAGCCCCTCCTGGCTTTGGGCATCACCACCCTGCCTGGTCTGAGCTGTGCCCTTCTCTCTGCTCCAGGGTGCTGGGCTCACAGCTGGCAATGCTCTGCAGGCTGCGCCCTGCACTCGTGGTGGAACTGTCCACGGAGATCCTGGAGTTCTCTGGAGCCGTCAGCAACATCCAGAGCAAGGAGGCCATCTTCACCCACATGGTGAGCAGGGCTGCCACAGCTGCTCACCTTCCCTCTCCTCCTCTCTCCTAGCATTAGCTAACCTGACTTTCTATTCCCTAAAAATCATTCCATTCCCTTTTCCTGTGCTTCCCTGTGTCCTGGCCCCAGGTGTGGGCTATCGGTGAGTACCTGTCGGTGTCCTACGACAAGCGCTGCACAGTGGAGCAGATCACGCGCTTCTTCGAGACCCTCGAGGCTGTGCTCTTTGAGATCACCCAGCTCCGGCCACAGGCCAGCACCCCCAGCTGTGCCCCCCGTGCCATCAGTGTCCTCATGGCCACCTTGACCAAGCTGGCAGCCCGCAGCCAGGACTTGATCCCCAGGTGAGCACTGGCAGAGGGTTGAAAGGTTCAGGTCTCGTGGGTCCAAATGTGGGTTTGGTGGTGGTAATTAATAATTGAGTCTGGCAACTGAAAAAGGACAATGGATGGGCACAGTTTGAAGGAGTGGGATTCAGCTGCTGGCTGATGTTCTGTCACCTGCACTAGTCTGTTGGAGTTTACACACAAGTAGTGACCTCTCTGGGTGAAAATACCTGTCTGATGTCTGTGTCCTTCTCTCCTGCAGAGTGTCCATGTTCCTGTCCAAGATGAGGACATTTGTGCAGAGCCCTGCTGTCACCTCTGTTTACTGCGAGGAAGACCTTGAGGAGATCCTCATTCGAGCAACTGAGCTCATGAACCTGCTGAAAATGCCCAGCGTGGCTCAGTTTGTGTTCACCCCTCCTGTGGCCAGCACACAGTTTCAGAGGGACGTGAATGATTCCCTCCCTTTGGCCCTGAGGATGGTCACCCAGCTCCTGGAGCCTGCTCCAGGCTCCATGCCAGTGTGAGGGCAGGAGGTTTCTGGAGTAAATCACTGGACATTGCTGACACTCAAGGCTGAGGCCCTGATCTTAACTGGAAAAGAGGAACAAATGTTTGTGAATGAAACAGAGAATAGGAATAAGGAGAGCTGAGGCTGTTTGTATTTCTGTGTCCTAGTGCCTGTTGCTTTTTTATCTCCTAAGCTTGTCTTATCCCTTCCTGGTGAGCACGCATTGAAAATCCTGGTGGATTTGTGCGAATGTTGCAGGAGAGTGAATGGTGCATTAATAGCCTGCCAGCACACCCTGTTCCTTTGGAGGGAGATGTATTTCTCCCCTCCCCTTTGCTCTCACTACACCTGCACGTGCTGCTTTTCTTGCCTCTCCATGCAGGAGATCAGGCAAAGGCCTGTGTCAGGAGGAAGCAGGACTGACTCCACCACATCTGGGAGCCCTCACCACTGGAGTGAAAAGGGAGAGATCCAAGAGACAGCTGCCAGAGCAGGGCTTAGAGAGATTTATTGATCCAGTTTATTGTTGACACAGAGCATTTCTTAACATCCACTGTGTCCGACAGGCGCCATGCTGTGCTCAGTACCTGCACCAGAGCTTTATACACATCTTGGCTGTACAGTATTAACACAGGGAAGTCAATCCATCCCACTGCTCCTCCTGGGAGAAGCCAGCCCTCATGCACACTAGTAAATAGCAGGGTTTATTTACAGTCTGTTTCCATACTTGACTGCACTGTGAGCGACACACAGCTCTGGGGCTGTTTTCCAGCTCCAGGGGTGCTCAGTGGGTTGCGCTGGTACCGCTGCAACGTGCCAGGATGCAGCCCCAGCACTGTCTAGTGCAAACCACACCTCCCCACCAAGCCCTGGCTCGGGGGCAGAGGGGAGTAAAGAGTGCATGCAGTTTGCCCAGGGGCTTTAGGAAGCCCATTTCAAGTTCTGTGGAGGATGACAGGCCAGCATACCTACTTGACTGAAAGTGAAGTGAATCACCAGGAGCCCTGAGCCTTTGCTCACCTGCCTGTTAGAGCTGAGTCAGTAGCAGGAGGATGCACTGCTCCCAGTCTGTGCTGGGGCAGCACCCCGTGGCCCAGCAGAGCAGCAAGGCACTCGTGTCTCAGAGAAGGTGCCTGGTCCTTCTTGCCTAGAAAAGCAGGCCAGGCTGTGTTGAAATCCAGTAGTGGAGCATTTCCCTTGCATGGAGTGTTTTGACATCTCTCCTCTCCTACGACGTGCAAGACTGAGCACAGGAACCAAAACTGCAGCAGCGAGGCGTAATTAAAGCCAACCCTGTTTTAGCATCACAATCCTCAGAGCACTGTTGTGAGATGCCATGTGAGTATCTGATCCACTGCCAGAGCCTGCACCGGGCAGGGTGTGATGGAGGGCTTTGCTGCAGGCTGTTTTAATAGGGTTCGGCTAAACTAGGTCTCAGTATCTGTCTATATGCGGAAATCAGGTCGGGTTTATCCCGTTAATGGTGCTAAAAGCAGAGGGAGGACTCGGGCAGGAGCCGGCTGTGCGGGGCCCCGGGCAGCCACACGATGGAGCTGAGCCCTCGGCTGAGTCACACCGGGGTCTGCAGCAGGAGCAGAGCGGTTCCTGGGGTATTCACAAGTGTCCTCCCAAAGGGAGTCTCTGCTGTCCATCATCACCTGTCGGTATTTCAGCAGCACGCTCCTGGGAGATGCTCTGAGCAGGGCACAGAACAGGCTGGCCTTGCCTGGGCTGGCGATGCTGGAGCAGGAGGAGCAGGACGTGGTGCCAAGCTGTCATTTGTCTGCCTGGGCTGGTGGCAGTGCCGAGTGCTGCTGGGTCACTCCGGTTCCTGGTGGCACCAGTTCTCTGTGGGAATATTCTGCCATCAGTCCTGGCAGCCTTCAGCTGGGATTGTGGTGCCAGAGCCGGGCAATAAATCTGCGGAGCAAGAGCAAGGGAGTCCTTCTCTGCAGGGAGCTCTCACAGGAGCTGCTGGTGGTGTCAGCCCTTTGCTGTAGCTGCTTCCCATCCTGAAGCAGGGCTCTAGCCCAGCAGCAGAAAGGCACCTGAGCTAGTGTATGGCACCAGGGGATTAACTCCTGGCAATGCATCCTGTGTGGGATCTCACTCCCGGGTGCTTGTGCTGCCTTCACACCCCCAGAGCTGGGCACACTTTTCCAGCCTGATGTGCCAGCACCTCAGGTTGCCACAGCACAGCCCAGGCCTGCCCCCCGTGTTCTCTCCAAAACCCAAAGGTATTTCATACCTTCTGCATGCCAGCATAAAATATCACACAGGGCTGCCAGCCTAGAGGAACAGAGGAGCCTGCCTACAAGTCCCCATGGTGGGATCATTCCCTTCCCTCCCCCTGCCAGAGGGGAGAAAGGAAGAGGAAAACTCTTGAGAAGGATGGTGCTGGGTATCAGGTGGGGCTGGGCAATGGATCAGGAACGATGCTCCCAGCCTGTGCAGTAGGAAAAGCGTGCACCATCCTTGCATGTCCTTTCATCTGCTGCAGTGCAGGGGCAAAGTGTCCAAAAGCACATTGAGAGCTGTTGTGGAGTCCTGGTCCTCCCTCTTGCACTCCAGGCTCCCTGAGGTCAGCCTTTACCAGAGCTGTAGCCACAAGCTGCTGCAGAAGGATCCTTGTACCACAAGGACTAAGAGGAAGAGGAGCTGGAACTGATTTTTTTGGCTATTTCAATGTCCGACTTGGCAACCAGAAACCGCAGCTTCTTCCCTCCGGAGCGGATGAGGTCCACAGCACTGCAGGGAGCAGCAACAGGGACAGAGGTGAGTTCTGGTTCCCTCAGGAGCCTGCTGAGCCATGGACATTCACAAAACACCCCCCTTTGCCAATCACCCTGCTCAGGGCTACAAGCAGGGGCTGTTTCCCTCCTGCCTGTAGCTTTGTGGAGGGCTTGGCCTCCAGGTTAGTGGTGCCAGGACAAGGGCAAACAAGGCCAAAGCTGCTCTGTGCTGTGGGCACCTGGGCTCTGCCTCTGAGCTGCCCCATCCCAACACCTTCAAGAGGAAACCTGGGGTGGGATGGGGCTGCAGCATTGCATTGCTGACATGCACCTCTGGAGCTCTATTTATTTCCCATGTGAGCTTCCCGGTTCTTGCTCTGTAATCCCTCTTCCAAACCCACAGCCTTGCCCCCTCTCTGGTGTCCTGTGCAGGTCACTCCTCTCCCTGCAGCTTGCTGGTACCGCAAGGACTGCAGCGTTGGCAACTCTCACAGCAAAACAGCCAGAAACCTGGACCTGACAGTAACTCCTGCAGTGCTGGTACCACCCCAGGCCCTCTGGAGAGGTGAGACTCACCTCTGGTAGTCTGCCCCGATGAGGCTGGTGCCGTTGACAGCCAGGATGCGGTCCCCGATGGAGAGCCTGCCGTCGGCGGCCGCGGGGCTGTCCTCGATCAGGGTGCGGATGTAGATCCCCGGGGAGCAGAGAGGGGTGTGCTGTTGGCAGGGGAAGGAAACGAGTGAAAAAAGGGACACAAAGATTTGTGTGACCCAAAGGGCTGAGCTTCCCAGGCAGGGTAACTCTCCCCCAGGGCTCACAACCAAGCCTGGTGGCAAGGGGGACCTTGCTTAGGAACATGATGGGGATGGTGCTAACAGTAACAGGAAGGAAAACATAAATCCTTTAGTTTTATATCAATTTATACACAGGAGATGTGGGGGCAATCTGCTCTTGTTCAATTTAATTAAGAGTAAGGAAAGCATCATTAACCTGCAGCCGTGTTGGGATGGGAGCTCTGCTCACGCTGTCCCAGGCCTCGGTGATGCTCTGTTTCCTACTGACCATTTAAAAAGATGATCCACCCCACAATGCCAGATTTCTCCTTATGCAAGGGAGGAGCTGTTTTGACACCCTGTAAGCCTCTCTGCTCCCCTGCCACCACTGAAGGGTGGAGGAAAGACCTCGGCTGAGTCATTCTCCTTCCGCAAGAGAGCTGAGGGTGTTTGCTCTTCCCAGCTGCAGGACAGCTGTGGACTTTGCATGCAGAGCACAGTGACCTAAGAGTAGAGATCCACTGAGAGATCCCTCTGTGTCTCCTTGTCCCCAGGAGAAGCAGCCTAGCTCCCGTGAGAAGCCATCAGCTTCTTTACTGGCTTTTCTTGGGGTACAAACCACGTCCCACATGTCCCACTCCAGCTGTGTGAGGGGCAGCAGCTGAGAACTCACCACGCCGTCGATCAGCCCCATCCCCAGCCCGATGGGTCCCCTCTCCAGCTCCACCACGAAGACGTAGCAGAAGTCGTCGGTGGCAGAGCTGCGGCTGGAAGACTCCGGCGTGGGGTAGTCATAGGGGGTCGGCGAGCAGCCTGGCAGCGGAGAGAGCGGCTTACGGCCCTGGCACGGCCCAAACCCAGCCTCACACCCCCGGGGCAGCGCCAGCTCTCGGTACCTTCGGGGGTGCTGCCCTTGGTGCCGTTCATGCCGTTCCTCCGGGGGTCCTGCGGCCCTTTGCCAGTGCCCTGCGGGGACCCCGGGCTCATGGAGTCGAAGTTCAGGGGGGTGGTGGGTGGTGTCAGCAGGCACGAGGAGTCTGTGGGCGCCGTGCCGGCCTTGGGGACAGGGCTCCTGCCCAGCTGCAGCTGCTTGAGCTTCTCCTGGAGCTGGGGCTCGCCGGTGGGGGGCTCGCAGGGGCTGGGGGTCAGGCAGAGCTGGGGGTTCCCCTCCTGCTCAGCACAGCCACCCAGGGAGCGATAATCCTCCTGGGCAATGGGGCTCCCCAGGGTGGCCACCGGGCCCTCGCTCACCTCCAGCACCTCCGGCGTCGTGCATGCCTCTTTCTTAAGAAGGAGGAAAATGCTGTGGAACCCCCTGTGTGCGCTTTTCACTCCCTACCTGTACCCCACCACCCTGCTGCTCTCCTAGCTGCCAAATCCATCCAAAGCTTTGGCAATTCAGACACTGCCAGGCTTGGCTTGGCTTCCCAGCACAGCTCCCAGCTCCCATTTGGTGGCTAGGGCAGTGCTGGGGATGTTACAGCCAGGCAGGAGAGGACTCCTGCTCATGTCCCTGCTGGGGGATCCCACTGGAAGGGGACACTGGGGTAGCACAGCTCCTCCTGTGCCACAAGGGCTGGGCAATGTGGCCCCGGGGTGACAGAAGGAGGCAGTGGTGCCTGTGTGTGCTGCAGGGAATGGGGACTGGATGGGACAGGAGAAGGGGACCTGCTGGAGGGACAGCCTCCACATGGCACTTGAGCTTAGCACCCACAGCACGTATCACCCTCCCTGTGCTTTACAGGCATTAGCTAATTAGTGCTTTTGTGCAAGCCTGGCTGCTGGGGACAGGCAGGGTGCAGCGCAGGGAGGACAGGGAACACACAGGGAGAATGGGAGCTCTGCCCACAGACATCTCCCCTTCCTCCCTGCTAACGAGATTGCTGGGAAGAGCCTGTCCTCCCAGCTCACCTTCCCTTGCCCCCCATGCTGGGGGATTAGCAGCACTAATCCTTCCAGAAGCTCTCCATGAGGGCACTGCCACAGCTCCAGGCTGCAGGTGAGGGCAGGAAGCCCTTGGCTCTGGGCTTGGAGGGGTCTGTAGAGGGACCCGAGACCCTCCTGCCCACCCAGGAGAGGAACACCCCCCCGTGGGACACGGGCTACCTTTGGGAGTGCTGAGGCTGACCCCTCGCTGGTGTGGGGGCTCCTGCTCTGCAGGCTCCAGAGGAAGTGGCGGATGTAAAGGAGGTGTCTGTAGATGTTGTCATCCAACGTCTCCACCTCCAGGTCCACTTTGAAGCCCCCGCTGGGCAGGATGATGGGTGGGTGGTTGTCAAAGGACTCCAGCATCTCATCTGAAAGGCAGAGGGATGCAGGTTAGCACTGGCTCAGGCTGCACCCCACATCTGCCTCCCAGCTCTCAGCCAGTCTCCCAGCTGGGATCAGGGATTTAGTCAGCTTGAGCCAGCAGCATCCCTCACTTGGGACAGCAGAAAAAGCCTCAGGCACTTTGCATCCTTTGCAGTATCTGAATTTCGGGGCTATGGTTATTACCAATAGCCCAGGAAGGGCGAGGGAATTACCTGTTTGGGGGTGACTGGAGCAGGCTGAGCAGGACTCACCGGGCTGGAAGGTGGCCGGGCTCTCCTCCTCGCTGGGCTGCCACGCTGAGATGCAGCCCATGTCCATCACTGCCTGGCACTGGCTCAGCACCCGGTGCAGCTGCGCAGGGCTCAGCGCGGGGAACTCGGCTCGCAGGGATGGCCAGCTCATCTGTGTGAGGAGACAGAGCAGGAGGCAAATGGCAGAGGTGAGAAACTGCTTCCTCTGAGGAGCAGGAGCTTGCAGGGGGCACAGGAGGGAGAGGTCAGGCAAGATGGAGAGAACCAGAGCATCCTCTCCCAGGTACTGCCCACTGGGACCCTGGGGAAGGGCAGCTGGTGGCAGGTCACAGAAGGGACACATCAGTGTAGGGAGCCTGCAGACACTGAGCAGGAGCTCTCCTGCCTGTGCCTACCCAATGGCACGAGCGCTGGGCTGGGCATTGCTCACCTGCACCAGCTGGGAGCCGGGCATGGCCAGCAGGTTGGCCACGCTGGCGAGTTTGGCGAAGAACTGCTGGGAGAGCTGCTCGAAGCCAGCGCTGCGCAGCCACTCCAGGAGCAGCCTCATGCTGGCCCGCAGCTTCACCCCCTGAGACCAGTGGTAGCAGCCAAGAGAGGAGCCTGAGGAGGCAAAGCATCCATCAGCCATATGAGGGAACAGCCCCCCTTGTCCCCCAGCCCTGGGTTAATGTCCCCAGCATCCTGTGCCTGTAATTCCTGATGCTGGCTGGACCTTGCCTGGCACTTTAAATGGGGAAGCTGTGTTAATGAGGGCTAATGAGCACCTCAGGCTGCTCTAGTTTATTAATGAGCTGCCCATATTAACTGCCCTTAGCCTCCTCTGCTCAGGCTAGAAGGGGCAGTGGAATGGGGATGGGATCCTTGTGGGGTTTAGTCTCTCCTGGGAACGGGGAGCTAGCAGCTGAGTCTGTGCTTGGCCTCCCTGTAACCATGCTGAGATCTGCCCATCTCCAGCTCCCTCCTTCTTGTACCCCTTCAGGTGGCACTGGGATGGACTGGGGGGTGTCCCCATAACTCAGTCCCCTACGCGTTACCCAGTTCAAGGAGGACTGACCCTTTTCCAGGAGCTGGTTGAAGAGGAGGGTGTTGGAGAAGAAGAAGAGGTAGGCGAACATCTGGGAGGTGATCTCGGCATGCACTTCATACTGGTGGAGCAGATCCAGCACAGCCTGGTAGATGAGCACGACCCTGCGGAGCTCCTCGGGCAGCGGCGGGGTCCCCCTCCAGCTCTCCCGGCACTCACTCTGGAAGGGGTTGCACTCCAGCAGGGCAGGGAGTGACACGTACAGACACTGCAGGGAGAGCAGCAAGCTCACAGCAAACTCACTTTGTTGGGTTTTTCTATTTTTGCACGAGCCAAGCCTTTCCTTCAGCTCCTCAAGCCAAGCAAACCTTGCCAGTGCTGCTCCAGCAAGGAGGTGCTCCTCCTATTCACCCCCTGCCTCCATGGGCTCCGGTGTTGTACAAAACTTTAAAAAGTTATAAAAATTAATATGTTGGTCACTTCTAGCAGCTGGAAGAGATGGTGTGTGATGCCAGCTAAAATCTGATGTGAGCCAGGGCAGCAACCAATCAGTTGGGCACAAGGGTGAAAGAGAAATCAACATCAATGGGGATGATTTTCTGTAATGCTTAAATGGGAGAGCAGTGCCTCGCACTCACTTCTGCCAGGGCAGAGGGAAGGGGAGGGCGCAGGGCAGGAAGGTGCAGCTCTGGAGAGGCTCAGGAGCAGCCCTCATGTGCCAGTGGACAGGGAGCTGTCCTGCACAGGGCAGCCTTTCTGTGCCTCACACTGCCCGCTCTGTTCCTGCTGCCGCCCGGCTCTCGCGGTCCAGCGGGCCAGGGGCCCCTTTCCATCACGCCCTGAATCACACCATTATACTGCACTGGCCCGAGCCAAGCAGCCCTCCCCAAACACCTCCCCCGAGCCGCTGCACTGCAGACAAGGAAACGCGCCGCAGTAATTCAATACTTTTCCTGGGCTGCGACCAAAAATCGGGGCACTTCAGCCCGAAGGAAAACACCTCAGCGTGGTGCGACTGCCAAGGAGTAAAAGCTTAAAAAAAACCCCTCCTGCACAGCCCTGGGGATGCTCGTGCTGGCCCCGTGTGGCCTGTACCTTGGAGATGTAGTAGACACACTGCTGGAAGGTGTACATGATCACCTCCTCCAGCACCGTCATCGCCTCCTCGCTGGCCGTGATGGTCGAGGAGAACAGGGACTCCTTGGAGCCTGCAGGGAGGGGAGGAGGATGAGGGAGCAATCCTGCAGCAGTAAGGCCCCCAAGCTCCCAGGGTGTGGGTTATGAGAATTTCCAGGTTTGTATCATCCCCACGGAATCCCTTGACAGGGCAAAGAGGCTCCTCTGGCCCGGGACAGCTCCCACCTGCCATCCCCCACAGCTCCCGTCACTGTTGGCAGCTCAGGCCTTCCTTCCAGCACCTGCCTGGCCTAAGAGCATTTTAACTTTTTGCATAGACCAAAAAGTTTTTTAGGCTGGTTTAACACCTTTTATTTTTTTCCTTTTGCTGTCATTAACACAGGCTCACCAGTGAGAAGTTCTGCAGGGCTACCTGCAGATCCAGGGTGAAGAAAGTCCCCTGGATCATTAACCACAAGCTGCTGTGGTGGCAGGGGATCCTTGTGTGTGAACACAACTCAACCTGGCTCTGCAGCCAGGCAGCACCACGGCAGCATGTGAGCCTGCTCCTCCCACAGATTTCCCCAGCCCACAGCACAGAGATGTCCCTGCTGATGAGGATTACAGAGGGTTAAATGGAGCATCTCGAGGGCACTGACCACCACCTGTGACTGGGGATTAGCAGAGTTGCTCCAGCTGGAAAAACAGACAGGATTCTGCATCCAGACTTACCTTTGATGTCCAGCTCTTCCTCCATGCTCTGGATGTAGGTGGGTGATTTCTGCTGGACAAAGTAGAGGATCTCGATGGCATTGGCCATCCAGAAGACGATGTGTTGCAGGTCTGGGAGAAGGTCTGTGATGGTGAAGCGGGACAGGGTGGCAGGGTCCTGGCTGGGGAGACACAGCAGGTGTTACACCTGCTGCTCCTCAGCATCCCCACTCAGGCTTTTGGGGAGGAAACAGCCAGCCTGGGGCAATGCCAGAGAGCTTTCACATCCCCCCACCCCCAAGGCAACACTCCCCACAGAAGGACCCTTTGCAAGGAAAAGTTCTGTGGTTTCTGCTCTATGGGGTGGCAGAGGGGACCCTGTGGGGACTGGGCTCACCAAGGCCACCTGGCCTTTGTGGGATGCCACTTTTGGGGCAGATTTCCCCTAATAGAGATGAACTGTGCCAAATACTTGTGTCTGAAGAGCAGCCCTTCCCCAGAGGTATGTGCTCTGGACACTTAAACTCAGCTCACCCGCCCTGGACTGGTCAAAAATAAAATAAAAAGCATCTGAGAAAATTTCTCAACTGCTAAACTGCTTTTTCTTGCTATAGGAAGGGCCTGGGAATCATCCATGAAGTTTATCCTAAAGGAGAGCTCACAGCAAGCACCAACAGTTTCTCCAGATACTGGTTTAGAGATGGCATTTTGGAAATGGCTGGGGAGACAGCTCCTTGTACCACTGTGATTGTCCCAGAATGGCACTGGGATGCTGTGCCACCACCCCTGGATGCACACATGCAGTGCCAGCTCCCTCTCAGCTCCACTGAGGGGTTTCCAGCATGAGGAAGGTCAGGCTCATGCATAAGGGGCATTCCTACTCTATCACTCAGGGATGAAGCCACAAAGCCTTGGCCAGATCTTGGATCAGAGAAAACCCCAGAGCTGCTGCAGGTCCTGTTCTCTCCCGAGCTTTTCCAAACCCAGACATTCTGTGCAGGCATTGTGGTTAAAGGACCAGAGAGCAGAATGTGTGAGATGTAGCAGGAAAACTCATCATGCATCGCTGCTGACAGGCTGGGAGTGTGGTTTTACCAGCCACGAACTTCCCTCACTCATGGAGGAAGAAGCAGGTTGAATTCTCCCTGTTTTGAGGCAGAACAAGGAGGGTCACACTTACTGCTGAGACTGCTTCTCAGCCAGCTCCCGCGTCCGCTCCTGGGCAGGGAGAGAAGGGGAAAGCACGGTGAGAACCAGCAGGATGGGGTGGCCCGAGCATCACCCCCATCAGCACTTGCTGCCACCAGAGCCCAGGCTGAGAACCCCCCAGGGAGGGGCTGAGCAACACCCCCACCCCACAAACACCCCGTCCCACCGCTGACTGACCCACACCGTCCTCTGGATCATTTTGGCCGCTTTGAGCAGCAGCTGCCCGAAGTCTCCTGGCTCAAAGTTGGTGGCCGAGTGCTGGATGCAGAGGCAGAGCAGGAAGGCGGGTGTCAGCTTGTGGTCGTCCCCCCCGGGCTCTATCAGGGTCATGATGCGCCGCAGGAGCACATCCTCGGCCGCCGGCTCGAACTCCAGCTGCAGCCTCCTGCGGGGTGTCCTGGGGCCACCGTGGGGCGAGGGGCCCCTCTTCTTGGCAGCCTCCTTGTCCTTCAGCAGGCTGCCACACGCCCCGCACACGTGGGGACCCTCGGGGTGCAGGGCTCGCAGCCTCAGCAGGGTCTGCGCCGGCAGCGGCTGCGCCTTCATGGGGTCCTTGTAGAGGAGCAGGTAGCAGAGGCCGAGGGACAGCAGGTCCCCGTGCCGCAGCACCACCGGCCCGGCCACCTCCGAGAAGTTGACAGAGACGGCAGCGCCGGCGATGGGCTCCAGCACCAGCTTCTCCTCGGAGCGATGCCGGGAAGGCCGGAGCTTCCTGATGGTGCAGTGCAGGGGCAGGATGTCGGGGGCTGACAGGCTGATGCTGGGCTTGCTCGCCTGCGTCCTCTGGCCCACCGTGTGCTGCTCGCGGTTCAGGAGGTAAACCAGGCTGTCCTGCCAAGCCAGGAGACGCAGCATGAACCGGGGACGGGGGAGAAGGGACCGTCCTCCCTGCCATGCAGTGAGTGCTGCAGCCTCCCGCTGTCCCCAGCTGTCCCCTCGCTGTCCCCAGCTGTCCCCCATGCACCTTTGCATGGCAAAAATATTTCTTTTGGCAAAAACATTTCTTTTTCTTTATTCTCCTCGCCGCCAAGCAGGACAGCAGCCTTGGGCTTGGGATCCCTGCCTTGGGCACACCAATAAATGGGTACAAGGACTTTGGGCATGCAGTAAATGGGGCTGCTTTGGGCAGAAGGAGCCCTCCTTCCACCTCTCCTCCTCATCCCTTCTGCAGCTGCTTTTCCTTCCCACCTTCTCCCCCCAGACTGCAGCGATGCCTGCACCCCCTGCCCATGGGGAGAGTGGGACCCCGGTCAGAGCATCCACCCCTGGCCCTGCCTTTCCCTGCAGCCTGTCTGCAGCTGGGTACCACCAGGAAACTGCCTCAGTTTCCCCAGCAGCACCAACGGGATGCCCGCAGTGCCGGTGTCACCCTGCCAAGGAGCTTGGAACAGCCGAATACTCAAAGGGCACAAAGTAGCCACTGCAAGAGCCGAGCCTGTCCTTTGCAGTTCTCCAAGCGCCTCCAGCAGACGCACCGTTCTCCTTGCAGCCCCTGATCCCATCAGGGAGCAGCCGGACAGGGGACGGGGCAGCTCAGCCACCACCCGCAGAACCAGGGCTCCCTCGGGCCGGGGCAGGGATGCTGCTCGGGGATCACCTCACATCCCTCTGGGGCATCGCAGGGGGTCACGGCTCCTGCCTCCGCGTCCCCCGTACTTGGGGACAGGCTGGGGACAGACTTGAGGACACTGCTGCAAGTCCCAAGCCCGTTTCCTAAAGGATGCTCATCCGCACCACAAACACCACCACCTCCCTCGACCCC